GGTGTTGTTTTTCTATTATACCTAGAGGTGGAGAAATATAATGTGTTTTGTTTTTGGCTTCTACTTATTTTGAAATGAAGCTTTCCTCTTTGAAATAAGGAAAATGTACAGATTACTAATAGTCTGGTGTTGGTAAAAAGCAAAAAAAAAAAAAAGAACGGCTTTCTATATTTTCACAATTTCAGCAACAGTATGAACTCATGATACTTGGTAATAGTTTACCAACATGATTCAAGTGTCTTTTTTCACACACCTCTGTTTAACACCCTCATCCTAGTCTGAATATGTGTGAACTTTATATACATTCAGTTTTAAAACAGGGCAATAATATGCAATAAATATCTTACTGTTTAGATCGCAATGAAGGTCACAAAGCTATTCAGCCTAGATGAAGTCATTCTAAATGAGAATACTTCGGTGTGTCGTCCCCCCCACGCCCCCATTTTAAATAAATGTTTCTCTTAGTGGATCAAATTTTAATGGTGAGTTTCTCAAAAAATCTGCCTTATAATGTTTTATAGGTCACACCTTTTAAAAGTGTACTTTAAAGACTGCTGAGTTTTCTCTGAAGATATTTTCATGAATAATAAATCAGAACTGGAATGCAATACTATTTGTGATCTGAAAACAGAGAGTTCAAGGAACACAGGGATATATTGGTGGATTTTTGCCAGGTTTTGTGGCATTGGAGAATCTTCCAAGTGAAGATGCTGATTTAGTAAAGGGACTAGATGACACACACACACATTGATAATATAACTGTATGCTGTGTGCCAGAGCCACTATATCAATGAACTGCTCAAGGCAGCATATATCAGTTCAGAAAAGACAACCTACTGGCTGAGCCCATGTCTCTGCTGTCATTGGCAGGGATCCCAGTGCCTGTAGCAGCATGCTGGCATGGTTAGGAAAAGGAATCCAACTGCAGAGTATCTGTTTTTATCACTTGTTGTGAACTGCTTAGAACATGGGTGTCAAACTTGCAGCATCACATTGCCGTCACGTGATGTTTCGTGATGTTTTCCCCATTTATGGAATTGGGGTGGGCATGGCCTGCAAGTAACACATCTGGCCCATAGGCCACCAGTTGAACACCCTTGGCTTAGAATCATTATATGATATAAGGAGCCTTCTGTGTTCTGCAATGAAACAAACAAACATGTATTTAGGAATGAGGTATTACTAAGTTCTCATAATCACATGTTGTGTTCTCGTTATCGTACGTAATGGCACTCCTTCCCCTACGACCTAAACTAAGCCTTCCATTGTTTCTTCAGAAAAGGAATGTCTTCCCAACTGTCTTATTCATACAACATGAGATAAATATCTTGTCACTTAGGCTTACACAATGGAATGCAACTAGTTCACATATTTTCTCCTTTATTTGACTCAAATTTCTATTTTTTAAAAAAGAAAAATCCCACGAATCATGAGAATTATTTAGTTTGCAGAAAATAAAAAGGGATTGTTAAAGAGAACCATGTTCCGCAATACTTGCTAAATAAGACCCATTTTTATGGCATAGATTACATTTGCATCAGATGACAATGATCATACTTAGTTAGTTTCTGACTAATTTTTACACAATAACTTGTATTTCACTAAAGGAAGGAAAAGTAAGTAACCATTCTATTTTCCCTATATTTTTTCACCAGTTATACATGAAATTAACTGCAATCATGTGTTATATAATAAAGTTAAGCATTCTTAAACATTGTGGACATGTTGACCAAAATGATAGAAGTTCAATATCTCTGGAGGACATCATTTTCGGTAATGCTGGTGTAGATGCAGAACTGGTTCTACCTTCTAGTTATCCTGATCTATTCTCTAGATTACATAATACAAAGATTATGTTAGATTGGCAGAGAACCAAGGGATGTTATACATATCCGTAAAATCAATGCAAACAATCAGCTAAACAGTTATCGTCACTTTCAATCCATTATATCTCTGACCAAATCGCTCAGATTATGGGGTTAAAGAACTATTTAGGAAAAGACCTTGAGGGTGTGGAAAGTCAGTGGAAATGAGATTAGGCAGGTCTCCTTCTGTAAAGTGTTCCAGAGACAGCACTTGAAAAGGTGTGGCTGGGAATTATATGAAAACTCAAAACATCTAGAAGTGTTGACTGAAAGGTAGATATCAGATTAAGATTAAGACAGCCAAATATTTTAAGATAAGAAAATCATGTATAGAAACGTATTTTCAGATAATCTAATCACATGTCATATAACTTTTGGAGGTCATGATTAGCTGAAAGAGACAAATCACAGCCACCTTACTCTATTTAGAGCCATTGGATTTACACAGAAGGCAGACACAGATAAATATTTTTTCACATTTTCTATATGTTTTCTCAATTAGCTAATTATAAGATTTGATTATTAATGTACAATTAATGTACAGCTAAAATCATACAGAAAAATATAAATTCTCCTGGAACAGATTTTTTAACTGGTTACTCTTGTATTTGATTTTCTCCAAGGAGATTCACATCAGAGGTGGTATTCAGCAGGTTCTGACCAGTTCTGGAGAATCAGTAGCGGAAATTTTGAGTAGTTCAGAGAACCGGCGGTAACCTTCCCCCAGGAGTGGGGCGGGAATGGAGATTTTATGGTATTCTTCCCTGCCATGCTCACCAAGCCATGCCCACCAAAGCCACGCCATGATCACCAAGCCACGCCCACAGAACCGGTAGTAAAAAATTTTGAATCCCACCACTGATTCACATCTATTATTACATTGTACATTTTACAGGGATATCAGGACTGCTTGTATTCTGCCCCAAATTATATATATATAAATTTATATATTTCCAGGAAAACCAGATATTTAAGCAAATCATCTTCAAGAAGATTCAAAACCTTTTATTATTTATGAGGTAGCCAAATTTTGTGTTTCTGAGGTGAAAATAAGGCAAAATTAGTTACAAAGATAACCACTTCTATTTTATTCATTATGTCAGGTTTAATACATGTTAGCTGTCTTGTTTCAAGTGCTATATATATTTCCATACAGATTGCAATATTTACACCAGCATGGGTAATTAACACACTATTATAGTAGGTTATGTTACTCTTTATTTCTTATTTTATCTTTGTTATGCTAATATTTTATCTCATCAATTTGATTTTACCTTTGTGTTGTGTTTTTAAATTTTTGATTGCCATTGACCAAATAAACAGTACTGCATTTTATTGTGCCACTTCTACCAGCTGAACCATTTTTGACTGTACATGAACATAAAACTGGCAAATCTGATTTGCTTTGGGTGGCCTGTGGTTATTGAAGAAGTCCTACCAAGCTTGCAATACTGTTGTATTGAATCTATCTCTTATCTAATACAAGGATTACTAGCTTCCAAAGTAGATTCTGAGGAGAGCGGCCACAAGGCCCAATCTATATTTTCTGATACTTCTTGATAAGGTCTCTCTATTCTTCCTACGATTCCTCTTTGATCAGGAGTTTTTTTTGTACGAGTCTATCCCAAATAGCACTCCCATCTCCACTGCAGCATCATGGTAGTCTATCTCTGACTTCCAAGCAGTTTTGGTTGTCCTCTTTGTAACATTCCTTTTTCTCAAACTTCTCATAAAAATGAAATATTTTCTAATATAGAAATTTCTATTCCTATTTGGTCCTTTCTTTTTCTTCATTTGTCCTTTCCATCACCCTTCTATGTGGGCACCTAGTCAATTCTTGCTCCACCTCTGAAGCCTTGCCAGAGTTTCAGTGGCATACAGAACAGTGTGATTTTTTTGTGTTCTTCAGTTAGGGCATTATCTGCTAATGTCTCTGTAAGTCTGCTTCAACTAGTAAGGAGCCCAAGATGGGTTCTAATGGTACTTTAAACCATTCTTTTGAATTGGACCTTGAAATGGTCTCTATTATTTTGTTTGGACAGTAATTGTGTTACAGTATTATGAAGCAGGTGAAATTTCCACAGAGATTTCAAAACCAGCTCAGGTACTGTTCTCCATTAGTCTCAATATGATATCACCCCAAAAATGCATCACTGTGACCAGATAGTAGATAAGATAAATATTATCTTTCACTGGAAGATTTAAGAAGAAAAGATATCTAAAGAATCTAAAAAAATATCATGCTATAATTTATGTGTCATTGGTTTTTAAGATCTAAAAGGTGGATGTTTTGTAACAATTAAATAAACGTTTTGAAAAGCTGTTATTCCAGAGAAGACTAGCATCTATATATTCATGCATATGGGTTTCCGTGGACCCTTGGCACTGGAGTATATTACTCTGCAATGCTGTTTATTTATTTGGTTATGTCTAAATTATTTTAATCATGTTTACATGTGGTAGGATTATAAACTGCTCAGAATCAAATACCAATTGGAGTGACATGGACGCCAAAGAAATAAAAACATAAATATTTTGTTTCCTACTTGAAACAAGTCTGAAGCTACAATGCATTTTTGAATGCATTACCTTGTAAAAGTAAGCCATAGGAAGGAAGGAAGGAAGGAAGGAAGGAGGGAGGGAGGGAGGGAGGGAAGGAGGGAAGGAAGGAAGGAAGGAAGGAAGGAAGGAAGGAAGGAAGGAAGGAAGGAAGGAAAGGGTTCCTTGACTTTCAACCCTCTGTTCATTTTAATATCTGCACTGAGGCCCCCTAACAGAGAGCCATCAGTAATGGATATTGATTTTAAGGCATACTCTTAGTTGTATAGAAATTAAATCTCTTGCTTTTAACAGAGTGGAGCTGTTGCATAAGTAGGCAAAATTTAGTCACAGTTTCAGCAGGCATATGTAGATGGCATTGTAATAATGAGAGTGGAAGAATGTGTCTTTGCTAATAGAACTGAGTTTCAGGTAAAGGAAGAATTTAAATGATGTGGAAATTCCCAGCTGAAGCTTCTCGAACAATTCCCCCAGTTAATTCAGTGCCAACATGAGATTCTTCCTGAAGTGGGCTGGTGAGATAGAGCGGGAGTGCTGCACTATTGGGAAACAAGGAAGGACAAACACTGTTGGGTCACTGCTTCTGCTAACCCTGCAGAGTCCAGGCTCTCTATAAAAAGGCAAGTCAGCTGAGTCAACAGCCTTCACAGACGCTGTGAGAGCAGTCTGTGACAGACAGCCCAGCAACACCTTTCCTGAAAGCCACCAGAGGGGGAAAATGAAATTTGCCCTCCAAGCCATTCTGTCCTTTGGGCTGCTGGGTAAGTGAATGCAGACTAATAGATAGTAACAACTCTAGCACCAGAGTTGCTTGAGGTTATTAAAGGGGCAACTTTTGCACTAGTTTTCCAAATGAAACCTTTTAACTCCTGTTAAGGGTGGAAAATAAATATAAGAGAAAGAAATATTCTTCTTTCTCTTATTTATTTTTCACCTTTTCTTCTAAGAACTCAGGTTGGCTTATATGGGATCTTATTTACTTTTATATTTTAACCAACCCTAAAAGTTGGTTTGGTATAGTATATAGTATATAAAAGTTTAGTATAAAATCACTCAGTATTTCATGATCATGAGGCTATCAATATAGATTTCCATTTTGCAAGTTCTTGCAAGTCTAGTACCTTACCCACTATGCCACACCAATTGCTCTGTTCCAGATGTTTTATTAAGAAAATTGCAAAATAAAAAAGAAATCCCAGAAATTACATTTTTAACTGAGGATCTGTTTCAAGAATTCTGCCAAATATGAAGATTTAAGCAAAGGCTGAAAGAGTTATGTTTTTCTACACGCTGAAAGGGGGAATAATATATAAATTATTTAATTAGATGTGAGTTCAAAGGCAAAAAAAGAAAGAATACTATTTTTATTATTATTATGAATGAATGTGCTTTGAACAAGGAATATTAGGGTGGGATGAGATACTTTTAAGAAATATGCCCAAGTTAATGTGATTGCATACTAAAAGAAACTGTAGGAAAGAAATGGTGAATAAGAGATAGATTGATTAATTATTCCTCTGTTATCTATATTATTCCAGCAAATACTTTTTTACTTCTTTCCTGATGAGATTAGAACAAATACAGGTATAAGGGGCAGGTATGAAATGAAATAGATACACTTATCTTGATATTTAGTACCTGCTATTGTTATCTCTGTCTTCTACACAGGTTACAGAATAAACCTGAGTCTGAGAAACCCATTATATTTATTTTCTAATGGGATTTTTGAGGACTGAAAAGAATAGGACATATTGTGCAGCATATCTGGAAGGCAGAAATTTTGGAAAGTTTTCCTAAGTTTCAGAAGGGTGTATTTTTCATTTCGAACCTAATGCTGTTCCTTGAAGTAGGGATCAACAAAACATTGCATTGACTCTGTTATTTTAAATAATATGCCGAATATTTTTAAAAAATGGTGTAAACTTTGGAGCTGGAATGAAGATCATGAACCTGAGGTGTTAGTAAAGGGAAGTTAATGCAATCTTCCTGTTATTTGTGATCTTATCAAAATCTCGATAAAATTTATTTTGCAGAACAGATGATCATAGGTCTCCAAATTCAATTCAAATGCTAATATTCATAACCAGCAGAATTAATGGCAAGAGATAGTGCAGGGATCCCGAATGTCTATTTCAAAGAGTGTAAATCTTTTCATATGTTACTGTCATACACGGGTACAACTTCCAGTAATGAACATTTGTAATATAATGGAGAATATGAAAATTACCTCATGTCATGAGTTGACATGTGATGTCTGGTACACTGCTAAAATGAATTGCTGCATTACAGCTGTAATTCAGCAGGGACTGAATAACAACAAATAGGCAATAGATTAAGGGTCATGTGTAATGACCCTATATTGATAAAAAACATAATAAATAGTGAAACATGTTTATGAAGATTCTCAGTTATCTAGGTAGAATTGTCTGGAATTTGAGTCATGGCAACTGGACTTCTTTTCTTTGTTTGTTTGAAATGTTTCACTGCTTATTCAAGTAGCTTTTTCAGTCTGAAGAAGTCTTTTAAGACTGAAAAAGCTACTTGGATAAGGTAGTGAAATGTTTCAAACAAAGAAAGAAAAGAAGTCCAGTTGCCATGACTCTACTTCCAAACAGGTAGTGAAATTGCTGTAAATAGTGTTAGCTTTCCATCATCCTAGGAAACAATACAACATAGTACATAATTTGCAATAGATTTTTTGAAAGTTGTTTGAAGAACTTGAAGCTTATTTTGCCATAAGCATCACTGTTAAAATCAAGTAGAGTGAATTGCTTAAGCAAATCTATATTCATCTAAAATTCTTCTGTCTGTTTCATTGCTTGTAACCTTCATTTGGGTGAAATGATACATCATAAAGCAACAATTCTTCAATCAACATACCTCAAGTGGGCTAACTTACAGAAAGTGTCCAAAATCCAGAATCCATGACTAAATGGGATGGGAATTTGACAGAGTTTATTTATTTATTTAATTTATTTATTTGATTTGTCAATTGTTTACAAGATAATAAGTATAAGTGTATACATAGTTATGAATACATGAAATGGGTACATATAAGAAAAATAAAATAAAAATAATAGTTGTGGCCACTTCAATGCTGCCATGTCTCTATAGTCAGCCATGATCACTTGATCATAATTTCCAACATTCCCTGCCAGTTTACCACAAGAAAAGTCAGTGAGGAAGATTGCTGGAAGTCAGAAGCTGCTTCTGATCAAACTGCATTTTTGCCCGACCATATCATTCTATTTCCTTGATATATATGGAAAAATATCTGAAATGATAACCGAATGCATCATGAGTCATCTAGTTCCTTTTAAAGATTTCTATAAGGCTAGTAGAAGAGCTCCTACAGCAGCACCACCTTTATTTAGGAGCCATGGTGGCACAGTGGTTAGAATGCAGTATTGCAGGTTAATTCTGCTTACTGTCAAGGGTTCAATCTTCACCAACTCAATGTTGATTCAGACTTCCATCCTTCTGAGGTTCATAAAGTGAGGACCCAGATTGTTGGGAGCAATATACTGATTCTGTAAACTGCTTAGAGAGGGCTGTAACACACTATGAAGTATATACTGTAAGTCTAAGTGCTACTGCTATTTAAGGGAGGCCAGAGATGGTGGAAAAAATCCAGAATTGATACCTTGATTCAATAACAGGTAAAATCCTGATATGTCCAGAGTCACTCTGAGAGTGAGATGGTCAATCAGAAAATTTGAAAACAAGCAAAACAAAACAATAACAACAAATAAATAAGAGAGATGCTTTGATGGTCATTTGATAAAGCTGTACAAAAGTACAGTTAATTTGTCTGTTGCTGTGCACTTTATAGACTATTTCAAACTTATCCTATATTAATTGAACAGGCATCAAATGAATTTCTGGGTCAAGTTTTAATATACTGGTTCTTAACATAAAGTCCTTAATTGTTTAGGGACAGGAAAAAGCCACATTCTTAGTTACTCACTTGCCATAGTTCTTGGTATGAATCCCTGTTATAGGTTTCATCAATTAGAGCAGTGGTCTCCAATCTTTGTGGCTTGACGGCCAGGCAGGGGGAGGAGGGGAACTGGCCCCCTTGACCAATAGCCAGTGTGTACACACGCTTGCATGCACAGCTCAACTTGCATGAGTGGTGGGTTTGTGCACACACACATGTGCACAGGTCAATTTTTGCATGCACATGTAAATACCGGCCCACCGTCGTAGCCTGGTTGTGAATAGGCCATTGCCCAGTAGTGGGCCATGGGCTGGAGGTTAGGGACCCCCTGAATTAGAGAATTTAAATTAAAATTTGTGACCCAGCCTTTTCTGTAGCAGCATGAGGATTAAGTAACTTCTCTAAGGAGTTTAGATTATCTTCTTCACTGATTAGTTTCAATGCAATAATAAGAACACTTTTGTTCTGCTCAATATTTGTTGTTTTCTAAAGTTTAACTGCCAGTTTTTGGAAAGTTTTTGGTCTGTCTTCAATCTTAATTGCATTTAAACGGCTTTAATGACTGTTTCATATCCCTTCTTGAAGCCCAAAGACATTTTCTAAATTATTTTGCAAACTATAAAATTTTTCTCAGTAATTGATCTACAGTATATTGTTAAAAAGTGAAATTATTTTTTCTGTCACTTAGCATGCTAATCACCTTGACAGATTATCACTTTTTGTAATAATGATATAATTGTTAATGTTATCTATTTAGATATTCAGTATCCACAATTTTATTTCTAGTTAATTTCATTTATGAACTTATTTTCTCTGTGTCTCCTCTTTCTATGTGATCTTAAACTGAAATTGGATTTACCTGGATTTTAGGAATGTCTACTGACAAATCTTCAAACTGAGAACTACCTTTTAGAAACTAGAAAATATACATTTCTATATACAAAATCTGTGCTGCTTCTCATTCTACACATTTAGTAATATAGCTAACTTTGCATATAAAAATGGATTCTAAATAACAAGTGACATTGTTTGATAAGAGGCAACCCAAATACAAGTCTTGATATTCTTGTCTGAGAGATGCAAATCACCATCCCTAAAATGAATTCAGATCACCATCAATAAAAATAATTCAGTCCACTTCAGTTTAGTAACCCTTTAGATCAGTGGTGGGATTCAAATTATTTTGCTACCGGTTCTGTGGGTGTAGCTTGATGGGCATGGCAGGGAAAGGATACTGTAAAATCTCCAGTCAGAGGCGGTATTTGCCAGTTCTCCGATGTACTCAAAATTTCCTCTAGCGGTTCTCCAGAACTGGTCAGAACCTGCTGAATACTACCACTGCTTTAGATTGTTTTCATACGTAGAAAAAGCTTCAATCAGGCAACTCTCTCAGTCTTTGATCTGTGATATTAACATTATCTGCATCCTTTTCATTCTTTTCATAGCTCTGTGTCTTGCATCTTCTTCTGTAAGATGGTGTACAATATCCAATGAAGAACAGGAAAAATGCCAAAGGCTTAAGCAGGAATGCTTTTCCCAGCAACTATCCAAGGATTTTCCAGAACTGATTTGTGTGAGGAAGACTGACCACCAGGCGTGCATAACAGCTATTAAAGTAAGTGGCTGCTGACAGCTGGATAGGGAAGCTGGGAAACTTCCGGAGTTCATTGTTCAAACAACCTAATTTTTTTATTCCCTTTCAAAGAATGATTGATTTGGAAGGTTCCAGACAGAAATAAAACAGGAGCAAGTCCTGTAGAAAATAGAATCTCATACATGGAAGCAAAATTTGAAAAAATATGATGAGAAAACCGACAGAACCTGAAATGATGCAATCAGTATAAAATATTTTTGTCCACTTATTGAATTTTCAGATTTCAGAACGGTCATTCATAGCTTGCATATTTTATTTATTAGATTATTGACCCCCAACCTTTTGGGCATCAGGGATCAATTCTATGGAGAGAGGTTTTCCGTGGACCAGAGGGGGTGTGGGTTTGCATACTGTCTGCATCCCACGGATGAGGCTTCACTTGTTTGGGAGGCCTGGTTTCTGGCATGCCTCGGAGCAGTGCCTGTCCATGGACTGGGGGTTGGGGATTGGGATCCTTGTATTAGATCAATAAAATGCTGACCACAATCTGCAGAGTGTTGTCTAAATCAGCATTCTCCAAACTTTGTGGCTTGGCAGACCAGCTGGGGTTGCCAAAAGTGGGGAATTGGGCCACACAAGTAGTGAGCCAATGTGTACATGTATAGCTCAATCTGTGTGAACAGCAGGCTGGCACACATGCTGGTAAATGCAAACCGACCTGCCACTTGTGAAAGATGAACTGTGTTTGTGCACATACTCCAACCAGTCATTTACATGGACCAATTCCGAACAGGCCATGGCCCGGTAGTGGGCTGCAACCTGGGGTTGGAGATCCCTGGTCTAAATAGTCAAAAGATTACCATGATCATGTGATTAAATCCTTCTTTCTCTTCTCCTTTCCCTCCCTTCCCTTCCCTTCTCCTTTCCCTTCCCTTCTCCT